TTTATTAGCAAAGTAACTGCTATTGAAGTTGAAGCAAATAATTTCTTAAAGTATGTATTTCTTATTGCTTGTATTTCTTGCTCTGAGGTATTTCTAATGATGCTTGTACATTTCCAAAAATAAATAAGATTAATGCTATTATAAAACTGACATCCATTTGTGCAAATTACTGTTAATGAGCTTTTATGTACATCTTATGCTCAAAATCTGTCACTACTTTTGATTTTTTGCAAACTAGTAAATGCTTTTACTTTCACTGTCTTCACATTTCACATCTTTTTTGAAAAAAAGTGTTCTTGCATTTTGCAAGTGTGTCTTTGTGTTTACATTACATGTTCTTCAATAATAATGTAAATTTTTTTTTTTAACAATTTTTTCTAGACCATTATTTCCACCAAGATTCTGTGATACAATCAAGTTCATGATTATTGCCTGACTATTGAATCTAAAATGGTGTAAAGCTTACAGGCCACTCTCTGCTTTACAAAAAATAATCAGCTTATGGTTTGGTATTCTTGCATACTTTTCATACTTCTCCATGTGGTAATGTATATCTCTGCAATTCAAAAAGACACCAGTGTTTCACTTTTTGCTTCCTTCCTTCAGCAGTGATTTCTTCTGGTCATGGCAGTTTGCTGTGGCACTCAGGATCAGTCACGTTCTCCAGACATTGCTTGTCAACCACTGCACGCTTTCAGTAATCCCATTTTGAATGGGAAATCCTGTAAAATGTTCTGTAGGCTTCTTACCACAGCAAATGACTGCTCAGGAGCTAATAGTCCAGTGTAGTGCATTTTTGTTCTTGAGTTCTGTTTATTTTCTTTGAAGATTGTTTTGTTGCAGGGTGTCTCTGTATCATTGTGGAGATTTGAAAAGCATAAATCACTTTGAGCTAAGTGCCAATAGCTTTTTGTACCTTTGAAAACATTTTCCTTCTTGAATATCCTGTTTGTTTAGCAGTAGTCCTTAATTTTGAGTAGCTTGGGTCCAAGGGTAAATAAGCCATGTAAACGTGGTCATAATCAAATTCATACTTCATTCTAGGTGACTATAAAATTGTAGAACATCCTTTTTTGTTTCTTATTAAAACAGACTGACTCTTGCATAGAGTTGGCATGGGAGGAGGAGATGAAAAGCATCCTTATGTTTCTGACCCTTAGTACTCTGGGGACTGTATTCTAAAGAAACTTTCAGTTGGACATGCAAGGGTGTTTAAAGGGAAGGAGCTTGACTTAATTTTATATGATGTAACATCCTAACAGAATCAGAGAATGATGGGGGTTGAAAGGGACCTCTGGAGATAATCTACTCCAACTTCCCTGCTAAAGCAGGTTCAGCTGGAGCAGGCTGGACAAGATCTTTGTCCAGTCTGGCTTTGAATATCTCCATAGGAGCCTCCACAACCTCTCTGGGCAGCTGCTTCCAATGCTCTGTCACTGACAAAAGAAAAGTTTTTCATTATATTCAGATGGTCCCTCCTGTGTTTCAGGTTTGTTCTAGTTAGGTTTCCTCTAACGAGACTGCCCTGCTGATGGCAGCCCTCTGAGCTCTGCCATTTAGCCAGTTCTCAAAGCAACAAAAATAATTCTTGGATGTTTGAAAGAAATGGAAAAAAAATACATTCAAAATTTTCTAAGGGGCATTCAGCTTTGGGGATTTCCCAGGAAGTGATTGTCTCCTCTAATCTCAGCTATTTCTGCTCATTTCTAAAAGGCAGCAACAAGGTCGAGAAAAATAAATACTATGTAGCCAGAGACCTATATCAGCCATAGAGTGGACAAGATAGAAATAATTTTTTCTTGTCTTACATTCAGTCATAAGCACACTAAAATAGTGTAACTGACCACCATCTGTAAGTGCTTTTTAACACTGCTAATAGCATAACTCTGTTAACAGCCTGCAGGCATTTTCACAGCTAAGCATAAATATAGAAATAACATGTAGCTGCAAAGGGAGACCTGGGTTTAATTGCACGAAGGAGGACAAAAACGATGTGAATCAACAATTCAAGCAGTAAAAACTGCAGTCAGAAACCAAGGATACAGAATAATCAGGAACGATTTCTGGTGGACCAAGAACAATTTTTTGTCCTAATGAAATGAAGATAATAGAGTCAGGAGCAGATGAGATTGCTTCCCATATTTTTTGGTGGAGGAGAATATGACTGTTAAAAAGACACGGTGACAACAAGGAGACATACAGAAGAAATCTACCACCGTGGTTCCTGCTTCAGAGTCCAAACAGCTCCCTCACCTCTTTACCTCAGCTTCAGTAACTAAGACTGTCAAGGACCACAGCCATCAGTATTTAACTACATGGCATCAGCTCAGTGGTATTGTGTACTCAAAGCTAATTTAGGATAAGGTGATTAGGGCCTAAGTGTTTGAATATGTAGTGATAATGGCTGATAATGATTAAGAACTTAACCACCGGCAATGTGTTGTTAATGAATGTCAATCTAGTTAAGCGTGGTTATAAAGTTTGCAGCTGGTGTTATTTATCAGGTTTTCAGATCTTCCCATCACAGCTACTTTAAGCTTCACCATGTTAAGCAGTAACTGCTTATCAGGACAGGGACACTTGAATCGGTTCTGCAGATTTTTCTGTTTAAAGCCTAGAATTGGTTTTGCATTGTTAAGAAATTACAGGAATCACAGGATAAAGATGTGATTACCTGTTTTGAGTCAAAGAAATTGCACACAGCTTCATTAGAACCCAATGCCAGTGGATATATACATTTATTTTGTGTGAATCTAGCTAAGAATCTGTAATGTCCTTATTGTAACTTGCACTCCATGCATAATTTATGTTCTGTAAGCTCTGCATCAAGGCTCTTGTTTGTGAGCCTTTCTATTCTGTGATCTTAAGTCACAACATCTTATTATATTTTCTTGCTTTTCGTGTTTGCAGTACAAGCTCCAAATTCACAGATTAGATCAAAGATGAAACAAAAATCCTCTTGAATTGATTGCTATTTTAAAAAGTTGACTGTGTTACACTTTCTCGTCCCAGATCCACATATGTCCCATATCATCAGTATGTGTGTGATCAGTAATTTCTGTTTCATTCAATTTTATCTTGAGTCATGTAAATTTAGTCTGGCTGCCAGAATTGTTCTCTGATATGATTTCACAAGCCAAGGGAAAGTCCTGTGTAATGTAAATTTCTTGTAGAAATCTAAGGTTTTTCTTCAAGTCTTTTTCTTCATTATTCTTCATGCTCAACCCCCATATCTTTTAGTATCTGAAAAGAGGTTGTTTTTTCCCCCCCCGAGAATAAGAAAGAAAGGCACAAATACTAAAACTCACACAGAAAGAAAAGCAGAATTGCTCCCTACCTGTTAGCGAGTTCTGACTGCTCCATCTCCCTTTTCTTAAAATAGCTGCAGTAAGACCATTGCCCCTCCTTTTCCCTGCCCCTTTCCTTGCACTGGAAAAGAAAGGAAGTTATCACAATGATAGACTTTCCATACATGAGAAATCCACAGAAAGTGAAAGTTTCTAATTTCTCTTGCAAACAAAACTCAGAGAAAAGTTAGTTAAAATAGGTTACAAAGCTAATATGACATTGATCTTGATACAGTGTGAAAAACAGCCTTTTTTAATGTGTTTTGTGGCTGTGGCTAATTTTGCTATTGCTAAAATCAAAGAATATGCTGATTTGGAAGGGACCCATGAGGATTATCAAGTCCAACTCCTGGCCCTGCACAAGACACCCCAAGAATCACCCCAATTCTGCCTGTGTTTTAGCAACACATAAAAGTTGTGGAAAATGTTTAAAATAATTTAAATTTGTTTTGGCTTCAGCTGTGGAGAGAGAGTTCCATAAAATTTAGTTTGCAGAAATTGCAATGCATAGTGTAGCATCACCAATGTGATGGCCAGAAATGTTTGTTATCTCAAATGAAGGCATCAATAACTGCATTAATGACACAGAAGAATAAATGAGAAAAGGTTTGGCAAAATTTAAAATTCTAATATAGTTCAGTGGGAAAAAAAGTGACTGATAAATGCAGGCAGCTTCTTCATATTTGTGAGGGACTACTCGGTTCCAGTTTTTGAGGCTGCTGTTTCCCTTTTGTATACAACTTTATATGCAACTTCAAAAACCTACTCTTTGTACTGGAATTGGTAGTGAATAATCTTTACTCACAACTGAAATTAGCTGTCTTGTTGTAAATGGGCTTTCTAGTGTAACCTTTGGGCATGTGAGGGACTGAGCTGGCAGTGTTGCACTAGGCACCAGCATATGCAGCTCTGTGTGTCTTTGCTCCTGACTGATGTTGCTACACTTTTGGAAGACCTCTCTGTATAGCATTTATACAGCTCCATTGTCCTAAATTAAACTTCTGAGTTTTTATTCAGAAAATTCTAAAAGTAGCTTGTTTCCATAGCATGGTATTGTTTGGCAGCATTATGACATGAACACAAATGTGTGACTATGGTCAGAAGCAGAGTGATTAGTGTGACAATGCTGAACAACCTTACAGAAGTTACTTGTTTTCTTTTTAAAGACTGCTGTCAGTTATGGTGGGCTCACATGTACAAGATTGTGAAACAACATTTGGATTTAAGGACATATTTCTGTGCTAATGTAATTAAATGCCTGCTTGTGTTCATATCTATCAGTAGATATAGACACCTGTGCAGTATAGATATATGTGTGTATGTACTTTGGTATATATGTACTTGCAGTGGTTGAATGATGATATAGGATAGGCATAGGTATGTGTGAGCAAATATGAAAGTGATGCTGGGACTCTTTTTATCAAAGGTGAACCAAAGCTGCATATGTAGACACATATTTTCCCACAATAAATGTATTGAGTAAATGTTGGGCTTTTTCCTTTTTTTTTTAATAGTACATTGAATTGTTTTTATCTCAATAGAGAAAAAAACCGAAAACATGCAGAATACCTAGTGCTTGCTTTAGTTTCACTTTTACTGTAGTTCTTTAATGTGCGTTAGTCAACTTGGTCTTCTGTTTTTTTTTTTTTTTAGATGGTGTAAAAGAATCTCCGTTTCCCAATCAAGATGAACAGAATGGCTTTCTTCAACAAGAAAATAGAACATCCATTTTTTAGGATTATATCTACAACATGAATCATTTAGCAGTAGCTGTCTTTGAGAACATTCATATATGACCTGAAATGTCCTGATCCTGGGAAAAAAAAATGGGATTCCATTAATTAAGTCTATAATTTTTAAATGCATTTTCATGACTAATTATATTTGCTTATGCACAACACGGAATTCATAAACCAGAGATTATTTTAACACATGAACACATTTTGTTTTACGTTCAGTATACAAGATACATAATTTTAATCAAATTTTAAATAATCTTTTAAATTATCTATATTTATTAATAAATGAAGTCTTGGCAAGAATTTATCATCCATGGACATGAGTAAAGCAGATTGCCCCGGAATGGATGATACTTTTGTATTGGGTAAAATCAATAACTTGAAAGTAGAGCAAGAAGACGACAGCATTAACTGTACTCTAGAAAGAACGGATATAAAGACAGAACAAGATGATTTCAAACATGCGGACAGCAGTGATGAACAGGAAGACAAAGAAAAGAACTTCATTACAAACAACTCTGGCAAATATTTGTCTACAGAAAATGAAGATGATTATGGATCTCTTTTTTCTCAGTATAGTAATACGCTGTATGATGTAGCAATGGAAGCTGTGACACAAAGCCTCCTTTCGAGCAGAAACATAAGCTCCAGAAAAAAGTCACCTGCTTGGAACCATTTTTTTATATCTCCTAGAGATAGCACTAAAGCAATATGTATGTACTGTATGAAAGAATTTAGCAGGGGTAAAAATGAAAAGGACCTGAGTACAAGTTGTCTCATGAGACACGTGAGGAGAGCTCATCCCACTGTACTAATTCAAGAAAATGGAACTATGCCAGGTATATCTTCCTTTTCTTCATCTACATTATTGCTGCCACCTCAGTCTGCAGATGTTGGAGATCTGAGTTCTATGTTATCCCCCATAAAACTGGTCAAGAAAATGGCTTCTAAAATACCATCTCCAGATCGAATAATTGAGGAATCTGTTTCTATTGTTTCTTCTGAAGAAATATCGGACCTCTCAGTCTCTGAAAAGTGCAGCAAAGAAGAAGTCATGGTTGGTTCATCTCCACAGCAAGCCAACAACCAATATGATGACACTGTTGAGAATGTAGCAGAAAAAACAGTTGTAATTCCAAAGAGTGCATCGGGTTCTAGAAGGAGATCCGCTGTCTGGAAACACTTCTATTTGTCACCTCTAGATAATTCTAAAGCTGTTTGCATCCATTGTATGAATGAATTCAGTAGAGGAAAAAATGGAAAAGACCTTGGAACGAGTTGTTTAATAAGACACATGTGGAGAGCCCATCGTTCCATTGTCCTGCAAGAGAATGGGGGTGGTACCAGCATACCACCTCTCTACACTGCACCTCCTACTCTCTTGCCTTCTTTACTACCATCAGACAGTGATCTGAATTCTATGTCATCCTCTCCTGGAAAACTAATGAAAGAACCAACTTCTGTTTCCTCTTCTCCAGACAGAATCTCCGAGGAGATCCATACTAATCTCACTTCTGGAGATACTCTAGTGGAAGACTCAATGCTGTCATCTTCTGATGATATAGGTGAAGTCTCCTTTGTTTCATCTCCTGAAAAACAGTGTGAGGGATTAGGTCCACTAATATTTGAACCTACTGCTGTGTTTCAGCAAAATAAAAGGATTATGAAAAGACTTAAGTCAGAAGTCTGGCACCACTTTTCACTCTCACCTGCAGACAGTTTAAAAGCAGTATGTAGATACTGCAGTTGTATGATAAGTCGTGGTAAGAAAGGAGATGTGGGCACAAGCTGCTTAATGAGACACCTATATAGACGCCATCCTGATGTAATTGGAAACCAAAAGAGCTTTCTCGATGTGAGTTTGGCAAATTCACCTTATGCCACTTTGGCTTCTGCAGAATGTTCATCCTCAAAGTTGACTGACTTGCCTACAATGGTTACACATGATAATCAAATTATATTTCCTGTTAATAGTAAGAAGACCTCAAAACTGTGGAATCACTTTTCAATTTGTTCTGCAGATTCAACAAAAGTAATATGTACACACTGTGGACGTATAATAAGCAGGGGGAAAAAGCCAACAAACCTAGGCACGAGTTGCCTTCTAAGACATTTGCAGCGGTTCCATAACAATGTATTGAAAACTGATGTCCCAGAGACAGTGTTATCCTCGTCTACGGATAATCACATGCCGCTCCGCACAGAATTACTAGGATCTTCAAATTTTGACGAAACCAATGACAAGTTTTGTGACTCTCATCCAGTTGCCAAAAAAATCACAAGTCTTGTAGCCGAAATGATTGCACTTGACCTTCAGCCATATTCTTTTGTAGACAACATTGGCTTTAACAGGCTGCTTGAATATTTGCAACCTCAGTATTCTTTACCTTCTCCATCTTACTTTTCTAGGACAGCAATTCCAGATATGTATGATAACGTAAAACAAATAATTATTTCACATCTTAAAGAAGCTGAAAGTGGAGTGATCCATTTTACATCTGGAATATGGATGAGCAACCAAACACGAGAATATCTAACCCTGACCGCTCACTGGGTAACATTTGAGTCTTCATTTCGACCACAGTGTGAGGATTACCATTGTTCAGCACTATTAAATGTATCACAGATTGACTGCGACTACAATGGAATCAGTATTCAAAAGCAGCTAGAATACTGGTGGGAAACGTGGATTACTTCCATTGGACTTCAGATTGGCATTACTGTTACTGATAATCAGAGTATAGAGAAAACTTTAAATGAAGGTGATCATTCAAGTGTACAATGTTTTAGTCACACTGTTAATGTAATTGTAAATGAGGCTATTAAAAGCCAGAGAATGGTTCAGAATTTGCTTAGTATTGCAAGGAAGATCTGTGAACGCGTCCATCGGTCAGCAAAAGCAAAAGAGAAGTTAGCTGAGCTGCAAAAGGAGTATGAGTTGCCTCAGCATCAGCTAATACAAGATGTTCCATCCAAGTGGAATACATCATTTCATATGCTTGAACGCCTTATTGAACAGAAAAGAGCAATTGATGAAATGTCAATAGAGTGCAGCTTCCGGGAGCTAATAAGCTGTGATCAGTGGGAAGTCATGCAGTCAGTGTGTCACGCTCTCAAACCTTTTGAAGCTGCAAGTAGGGAGATGAGTACACACATGTCTACTCTAAGCCAAGTGATTCCAATGATTCATATACTTAACAGGAAAATAGAAATGCTTTTTGAGGAAACTATGGGCATAGATACTATGCTGAAATCTTTGAAAGAAGCTATGGTGAGCAGATTGTCCTCCACGCTTCATGATCCAAGGTACATTTTTGCTACACTTCTGGATCCCCGGTATAAAACATCGTTATTTACAGAAGAGGAGGCTGAACAATATAAACAAGACTTAATCAGGGAGCTGGAAATAATGAGTTCTACCTCAGATGATGATAAACCTGTTTCCAATGGATGTGATATAGGTTCACCATCTACAAATTCTTATGGGGAAGATAATCTCTGGTCACTCATGGGTGACATGAAGAAAACAAAAGACCTGAAAGAGAGAGCAAAGTTACCAGAGGAAATGGTGCTTTCTTACTTGGAGGAAGAAGTGCTTGAGCATAACTGTGATCCTCTAACTTACTGGAACTTTAAAAAGTCATCTTGGCCAGTACTGTCAAAATTGGCTGTCAGGTTCTTGGGTTGTCCACCAAGCATTGTTCCTTCAGAGAGATTGTTCAATACATCCAATGAAAGCAACAACTTTAGTCAGTCAAGGTTAATGATTGAACACTTTGAAAAGCTTATCTTTTTGAAAGTGAATCTTCCTTTAATATACTTCCAGTATTGAAACTAATGAACAAACTGCTAGACTAAATTTATTGTTGCTCACTGGATATTAACTATCTATAACTTGGATTTTTAAATTGCTCCAGTAGGGGCCATGTATGACATCTAATCAGTGACTATAATTCCAAATTTTAGATTCATTTTTTTCAGCTTTCAATATGTCTACATGTGCCTTATTCATAGTACTTCAGGCCAGATATTGTATATATGTTTTTTAAAAGTTCACACTAGAGATAGCCTGTCTCGTCAAATTATACAAAATTATGTAGGTTTTAATCCATAATTGTAAATGAACTTTAAAAAGCTCAGTCATTTGTTTTAATAGAATGGCAAAAAAAAAGGAAAAAAAAAGATGTAAACAGTTCTATTCTGTAGTTTTTTATTCAATTATTATGTAAAAACCATAAACCAGGTACTGTATTTTAGTTGAACATTGCTTTAATTGCAAGAAAACAGGTTTTGTAGTTGTCAAAAGAAAGCTGTACGTGAAAGATGGGGTTCAAGCTGTCTTTTTATCATATGATGTTTTTAACTGCAATCCCTAAAGTACTTAAAGGATTAAGAAGAGTTATTGAGGAAGATGTGTTTACAGGAGACTGTTGACTTAATATCTGAAAATAAATCTTAAATTTAACATGAGATGGAACGTCACTTATACAGCAATCGGTAGTAAAACTTCCCATTCTGGGTTCTCCTGTTCAGGCTTTACATTTTAAGTGAATTACAGAAATATTCTGGATATTTATAAAAGGTCCTAAAGTTTGTGAATTAATGCTTGTTATTTAATGCTGTGTACAAAAAAGGCAAGAAACTTACCAAGAAGACTCTAATGTCATTCTGAAGCCTATTCTAATCTTTAGTGCATCAAAACTATAAGGTCCCTATTGTAAAAATTGAGCCCTTACTCCTAATGTATTTTCAATTGTGTAGAACAGCCTTTCTTAAAGCTCCTAGTACAGAAATAATCTGATCTTCTGGTTTTCAGTAATAGCCTTATGGATATGGTGCACTGCTTAGAACTTTATGTAGTAGGGTTGATTCCTGACTGTTGGTGTCCATCAGGCAAATGGGATATAAAGCCTTTAAAGCTTCAGATAAGTTGGAAAAAATAGCCAGCATTTTAATTTGAAAGGAACATTCTCCTTAGTTCTTCTCTAGAAAGACTTATCTTTTAATTTCAGTTTTCATTGAATACATTTTTGGGAAACAAGTCATCATTTGCCTATGACCTTTTAGAA